TTCACCCCCCTCAGCCGTGTGAGACACTTTTTTTTATGGATGGGTGATTTTTATTTAAGTTCTTTTGGACTGATGCATGCAACACCTGCTGAGTGGCATTAAACAGCTTGAAAGATCAAATACAATTTTTAATATAACTCCGACTGGATTCGTCTGAAAGAAGAAAGCCATATACACCTAGGATGCCTCGGGGGGTGAGTAAAACACAGCCTAATTTTCATTTTTGGGTGAACTAACCCTTTAAGGCTTGTTTCTTGTAGATTAATGGTATACTACATGTTTTTGTGCCTAAAGAAATTAATAGTGTTTATCACAAATACTTTTCTCATTTATAAGTCATTTTGCATAAATGAAAAATTAATAAATGTAAATGTTATTATTATTTATTCGTAATGCAGTGTTTTCTATAGTGTAATAGGATGAAAATATACATTTAATTTAGTGTTTTTAGAATAGCATAAAATGTATAGTTTTGATTTATGCATAAAATAAAAAAACATTTGTAAAAATCCTATTCTTAATGAGTATTTTTGTATTTGTTTCCAGTGTTCTTGTTTTATTTTAGTATCATTAAGATATTATTAGTTTTTTTACTATTAGTTTTCTGTTTTAATTTTAAATGTAGTTAAAGTTTTAGCAAGTTTGTTCTGTTTTGTCATTTGTGTTAGTTATTGTTTTTAATATGTCTGTATAGTTTTTGCTAATTAAAAATGTTTCAGTTTTAATATGTTTTAGCACATTTTTAACCTGTTTTGCAGAGTAAATTGATCATATTCCAAGGATTTTAAGATATTTTACCTGGGTAACAACTACAAAAAACTAATTATCAGCTAATTATTTATATCAAATTATTTATATCAACTAATAATTATTTATATCATATGTGACCCTGGACCACAAAACCCGTCATAAGGGTCAGTTTCTGGAAATTTTAGATTAATGGTATACTACATGTTTTTGTGCCTAAAGAAATTAATAGTGTTTATCACAAATACTTTTCTCATTTATAAGTCATTTTGCATAAATGAAAAATGAATAAATGTAAATGTTATTATTATTTATTCGTAATGCAGTGTTTTCTATAGTGTAATAGGATGAAAAAATACATTTAATTTAGTGTTTTTAGAATAGCATAAAATGTATAGTTTTGATTTATGCATAAAATAAAAAAACATTTGTAAAAATCCTATTCTTAATGAGTATTTTTGTATTTGTTTCCAGTGTTCTTGTTTTATTTTAGTATCATTAAGATATTATTAGTTTTTTTACTATTAGTTTTCTGTTTTAATTTTAAATGTAGTTAAAGTTTTAGCAAGTTTGTTCTGTTTTGTCATTTGTGTTAGTTATTGTTTTTAATATGTCTGTATAGTTTTTGCTAATTAAAAATGTTTCAGTTTTAATATGTTTTAGCACATTTTTAACCTGTTTTGCAGAGTAAATTGATCATATTCCAAGGATTTTAAGATATTTTACCTGGGTAACAACTACAAAAAACTAATTATCAGCTAATTATTTATATCAAATTATTTATATCAACTAATAATTATTTATATCATATGTGACCCTGGACCACAAAACCCGTCATAAGGGTCAGTTTCTGGAAATTTAGATTTATATATCACCTGAAAGCTGAATAAATAAGCTTTCCATTGATGAATGGGTTGTTAGGATAGGACAATATTTGAGATACAACTATTTGAAAATCTGGAATCTGAGGGTGCAAAAAAAAATCTAAATATTGAGAAAATCGCCTTTAAAGTTGTCCAAATGAAGTTCTTAGCAATGCATATTACTAATCAAAAATTACGTTTTGATATATTTACGGTAGGAAATTTACAAAATATCTTCATGGAACATGATCGTAATATCCTTAATATCCTAATGATTTTTGGCATAAAAGGAAAATTTTTAATTTTGACCCATACAGTGTTTTTTGGGCTATTGCTATAAATATACCCCAGCGACTTAAGACTGCTTTTGTGCTCCAGGGTCACATATATATATATATACTGTATATATCATTTATATAAACTAATTATTCTAAAAAAAAATCAACCAATCAAAAAAAAAACTTTATTTTGTTCTATGACATAACCATAACTTGCTAACAAGGTGCTAAATAAAAACTAGAGTTTACTGTATGTGTTTGACAAACTGCTCAGCCGCTGTAGCCCTTATTCTTGTTTCTCTGTGTCTGAGAGTTCAGATTTCTGGTTTAGACTGTTTGATTGAGTCTAAATGCTCTTTTAGTGCATGTTTTTCACACTTAAGTGAATACATGTCTTGTTTTTAAGACTAATTACAAATGACAGGAGATATCAACCCTATTTCCTCTTAGAATTCACCTATAACCCCCTTCAGGTTGTCCGGTGGTCCCCAGTCACAGGAAACCCATCAAGTGGTCATATCAGAACCAGACCCTGAAACAGAGTCCAGGCGTGAGCTACCGCATGCTGGTGAGGGGAAGAGTTCTGGAGATGAACACGCACGGAGGGAAGTTTGACGGACGCTACGAGTGCCAAACACAAACCAACAACCAGCAGCATCTCACGGCTTGGATTCACGTGCTTTCACAAGGTTAGTGTGAATAAAAACAATATTGGGTGAATACATTCTTAAAGCTCTCTTTAGTATGTTATTGTTATTTGTGATTGGTTTTGTTGTATGTGTAATTTGACAATATATAAGAAGTGCTAACACATGCTTAAAGTCAGCAAAAAGTGCTAATAAAAAGGTGTGTGAATGATGAATAGCCGTAGTCTTCTGATGAAACTCAACACCCAGAATAGACAGGAAAGTGTTATGTCGAAGGTTTGTACATGAATTGGACTTCAGTTCTGTCTTGTAGAAATCCAAGCGCTCAGCGAGCTCATTTGTGTCTTGTTAAAGCTGCATGTCTTCCTTTCAGTTCCTTCACAATGCCAGGAATTTTAAAAGGCAGAGACGATTGTGTAGATATTCAAGCCTAGAATTCCTAGAAACCTTTAAGGCTTGTTAAATGGCCTCTATAACCTCGCACTTTGAATCAGGCGATTTGGCAGCCTACTTGAGTAATAATGGGGCTTCTCTGATAGTGCTTCCCTGATGCCATGATATTGATTCATGCTGTACCCGTTTCATCCTTTATAATTGAAATTCACAGGCTTTATGTCTGGACATACAGCATATACAGTGTATAGGTACCATATATACTGTTTTAATATATTTTAAAATGTAATTTATTTCTGTGATCAAAGCTGTATTTTCAGCATCATTACTCCAGTCTTCAGTGTCACATGATCCTTCAGAAATCATTCTAATATGCTGATTTGCTGCTCAAGAAACATTTATTATTATTATCAGTGTTGAAAACAGTGGTGCTGCTTCATATTGAAATTCACAGGCTTTATGTCTGGACATACAGCATATACAGTGTATAGGTACCATATATACTGTTTTAATATATTTTAAAATGTAATTTATTCCTGTGATGCAAAGCTGAATTTTCAGCATCATTCCTCCAGTCTTCAGTGTCACGTGATTCATCAGAAATCATTCTAATAGGCTGATTTGCTGCTCATGAAACATTTATTATTATTATCAGTGTTGAAAACAGTGGTGCTGCTTCATATCTAGGTGGAAACATTGATACTTTTTTTCAGGATTTTTTGATAAATAGAAAGTCCAAAAGAATAGTATTTATTTTGAAATAGAACTCTTTTGAAACATTTTAAAAGTCTTTCACTTTTGATCAGTTTAAATAGTCTAGAATTGTATTATTGATGATCAGTAGATGGTCTATATTCAAATTCTATAGTATTCTGTACTATTTATATACAATTTTGGCTAAATAAATGAAAAGTAAAATGGTAAATATCATCTAAAATCTTTTTTAAAAGTCTGTTTTAAATTATACAAAAACTACATAACAAAAAAAATGTTTTTGCTTATTTGTATCACCAAGAATTTTAATATCATCTAGGGCTGCCACTAATGACTATTTTTATTTCGATTAATCTATTGACTAATTTATCGATTAATCGATTAATCTTAACGAGTAATTTCCCACAAAAAAATCAACAATTTCACTTAAGAATATTTTATTCAACTATATTTTATTAAACCAAATGAAATCCAAATTTATATGAAATCCTTTTTTTAAAGCAAAATTAAAGTGTAACATAGAGTGCAAGAAGCAAGTGTCCATCTCATAGTCCAGATCACTGAAATCAAAGTTCAGTATTACAGTGTAAGAGTGACAACATATCCACATGTTCTAGTCTACTACTAATAAAATTATAATCAAAAAACACTTTTTAAAGGAGTATATACCAGAAATATTATTTACCAGAATTTATTTAGGAGAAAAATGTAAATGTGCAGTATTTCTGAAAATTAAAAATAAAATCAATTAATTGGAGATGCTTCCTATAATTATAATTAATTTTTTTTGTGATAATAAAAATATATCAAGTCAAGTCAAGTCTGCTTTATTGTCAATTCTTCCACATGTACAGCACATACACACAGAGTTGTTCACATATGTAAGTGAACAATAGCCTTTAAAATTACTTAAAATACATATATAATAGCAATGAGGCAATAATAATTAGTTCAAATAAAGTATCAAAAGCAAGAAATCATATGGTTTTATTCAACAAAACTGTTAAAATACATAATGTATTATAAACAATAGAGCTAATGTATATTACGCATTACGACAAAGGCCTGCAGGGGGAGCCAACAGCCTGATGATTATTTTTACACATTACTGTGCGATCAAGTCAAGTCAAGTCTGCTTTATTGTCAATTCTTCCACATGTACAGCACATACACACAGAGTTGTTCACATATGTAAGTGAACAATAGCCTTTAAAATTACTTAAAATACATATATAATAGCAATGAGGCAATAATAATTAGTTCAAATAAAGTATCAAAAGCAAGAAATCATATGGTTTTATTCAACAAAACTGTTAAAATACATAATGTATTATAAACAATAGAGCTAATGTACAGTATATTACGCATTACGACAAAGGCCTGCAGGGGGAGCCAACAGCCTGATGATTATTTTTACACATTACTGTGCGATCTAATCCTTGTTTAATATAGACCAAGCACCATTTCATTCAAATGTCCACTTAATCTTTAATATTTGGCCATTTCTTTAGGACAGAAATGCTATAGCCACTGTAATTAAAAGAATGTGGACATCAAAATGTGTAAACTCAGAGTGAGGGTTTGAGCTTTTATTTTGAAACCGCAATGTATTCTCCTGTGTTTGCATAGATTTATAAATGATTTACCTTACAAATCTGATGAAATGGCGCACGTTGCGTTCCCAGATGAACGTTATAATAAACCCAAACTCACAACAACATGCAGAGATGGAGTTTGAGATGCTCCACGCATGTAAATGATAACAGTTCCTGCGGAACTACTGTGAACGGAGCCACTGTGTGACGCACGTACTTAACCTACACACATGTAAATAATTAAAGCGCATATACTGTATTAGAACTGCATCGCATATAATTATTTAATTAAATCGTAGCGTTTGTGAATTCTCAATTATGCTTAATTATGATTTTTAAATGGGTTTAATATATCATGCAGCCTTGGGAAACTGTCTAATAATGTGTTTTATGGATTCTCGTCCATGAAATGCGCCACTTCCTGTATTTTGCCAGTTAGTCGAATAAAATCGACGAATCGTGACAGCCCTAATATCATCCCTAACTGTATGTGTATTTCTCTTTGTGTCTTTTTCCGGGTGTAGAGTTTGAGTGGCGTTTGGGCGAGTGGAGCACATGCAGCGCTTCCTGTGGCAACAGAGGGACTCAGATGAGGAAAGTGCGATGTCTGACGTCAGAGGGCCAAGAGATGCCTCATTCAGTCTGTCATCATCTTCCCAAACCGATCAGTCAACCACGGCCGTGCAACCTGCTAGACTGCCCTCCCAGGTACACTTCCCTAAGCAAATAATAAAATACTTATAGAAATAGCTCCCCCAAAAATGACGAAAATGTACTCACCCTCACGCCATCCAAGGTATAGATGAGTTTGTTTCTTCATAGGAACAGATTTGGAGAAATGTAGCATTACATAATTTGCTCACCAATGGATACTCTGCAGTGAATGGGTGCCGTCAGAATGAGAGTCCAAACAGCTGATAAAAACATCGCAATAATCCACAAGAAATAATTTCTGGCCAACCTGTTGTCCTCTGATATCAAAATCCACCAACGTATTTGTTTAGAAATATTTTGGCTTTAAACGGTGCTTGATCTGTGCACCGTCTGATTCAGACGAGACAACTTTTTCACTGGAAAAAAGCAATATTATGAATAAAGGACTCTAATCTGATGGATTCTTACAAATAAGCAGGTTTTCCCTTCAAAAGATTGATGGACTGGAGTGCTGTGGATTACTGTGATGTTTTTATCAGCTGTTTTGACTCTCATTCTGACGGCACCCATTCACTGCAGAGGATCCATTGGTGAGCAAGTGATGCTAAAGTAATGCTACATTTCTCCAAATCTGTTCCGATGAAGATACAACGATGGCCTGAGAGTATAAATTTTCAGCAAATTTTCATTTTGGGGGTGGACTATTCCTTTAATAATATGCAGCATACGTCACGACACAGTCAGAATATTAGTAGAGAAGAACGGCTTCAAACAGAGTTCATTTTCATGCTGAAGAGTTCTTATTTGATAATTGATACTTTAAGTTGCATGTATTTTTGTTTTACTCATTTATGTGTTTGATTCATTGATTTAGAGAACAAAATAACTAAAACTAGATAAATACTCCACTGTCTGAACAAATGGATCCATTTTCATTACTTAGAAAACAACTTATTAACAGATTAGATTGAAAAAAACAATCAGGATTGGGTGCAATGTGAACAAATCCATAAAAACTACAATGTTGTGCCTACTGTAGGATTACTTTAATTCTCTGACCGTTAGCGATTCAGAAGTCAGACACAGTGTCAGTCGCTCTATCTTTGATAAATGAGCGTCTGCTGACGGATCTCTCTATAGACTTTAATATAGAGAGAGCGGAACCCTTCACAAGTCTGCGAGCCGTGATGCATTTGACTGCGAGCAGCACCCCGGTCCTCTGATTCCCAGCCAAAGTGCCTCTCTCCATCAAACAGCCCATCTGTCATTCCCTTCCCAGCATCAGTCTTTTCAGGGGCCGTGCAGACGCTCAACCAAGCACAGGAATCAAACCGTATGAGTCCAGTGGGGCCGGAGAAGAGCAGATATCAGCTGTCAGTGTAAAAAGAGCTTCTTTTTGTCAGTGCTCTGGTCTGGCAGGAGAAATCCCTGTGGGTTTTTACCATTTCAACACGATGCAGAGAAATCAGAACATTTAGAATAAGAAAGTATTGTGAAAATCACCAGGGACAGAAATGAACTTTTCCGGTAAAATTCCGGCAAAATAATATTTACATACTGGATTGGTTTCCAGGAATTTTAAAGGCAATTTTCATAATTACTTTTATTCAATGTATCAGTGTTTGACTTTAATGTAAAATGCTTCTGTCATAGATGTAACCAATTGTAACCCTGGACCACAAAACCAGTCATAAGGGTCAATTTATCCATCTGAAAGCTGAATAAATAAGCTTTCCATTGATGTATGGTTTGTTAGGATAGGACAATATTTGGCCGAGATACAACTATTTGAAAATCTGGAATCTGAGGGTGCAAAAAAAATCTAAATATTGATAAGTTGTCCAAAATGAAGTTCTTAGCAACGCATATTACTAATCAAAAATTAAGTTTTGATATATTTACGGTAGGAAATTTACAAAATATCTTTATGGAACATGATCTTTACTTAATATCCTAATGATTTTTGGCATAAAAGAAAAATCTATAATTTTGACCCATACAATGTATTTTTGGTTATTGCTACAAATATACCCCACCGACTTAAGACTGGTTTTGTGCTCCAGGGTCACAATTATTTCAATCAATCATAATACTATAGACCAGTGGTAAACAGCCTTCATGAAGAATATAAATTAAATTCTAAAATTAAAAACAGGAGTGTATTTTAAGGCACACTGTATAAAAAACAGTGTTTTTTGTAAAAAAAAACAAAAAAAAAACAACAACTGATAAATAGGGTATAATCTACTAACTCTTTATTAAATTTTCTTCTTGGAATAGTAATATAAAACAAACAGCAACTGTGTAAATTTAGACCCCACCCCAACCCATCCCAACCCTGGTAGACTTTAAAAAAATTATAATAATAAAATAAAAAAATATATAATAATAATCATTAAAAAAAAATTCATACAAATATGTATATCTAAAAAAGTAATAAATAAATAGTAATAATAAAAAATTAATTAATAACAATAATAGGTAAATAAATAAATAGCAAAAAATTAATTTGTACACAGATTTTAGAAAAACTGACACAACATTAAAAGCTGAATGCCATAAATGTACAGTTTTCACATTAGATCCATGTATACGAGAAGTTGAGAGTTCCATCGAGATAATGTCCAACAAATACACAGTCCAGGTTCGTCTGTCCATTGTGTGAGGAGGATTCCAACGATTGACTAGCATTTTTTTTTTGCTGCTGTGAGAGCAGCTAACAGTAAACATCTTTGTTGGACGGACAAGGTGAGGTTCCAAAAGTCATTCATGAAAAAATGGCGTGGAGTCAAACATATCTCAGTACCCAACAAATATGATAGGTCCTGTGAGAGCTGAGTCCACAAAGGTGAGAGAGAAGGGCACTCCAAAAAAAAAAAAATGCAAAAACGTGCCTAAAGATCCTTGCGAACAAAGATTACACTTAGGAGAAGACGACAGATTCATATAAAAACGTTTCATTGGAGTCGAATAAACCCTATGCAGCAATTTCCAATGAATTATTTGGTGATTAGGGTTCTTAGAAGACAATTTAAACATACCCCGTACCTGATCCGAAAATAAAACATCCTCGTTAAGATCCTTAGCCCAAACATTTGTAATAGATAAAGGTTTGTATGAATGCTCAAGAAGAATTTTAAATTTATTGTTTGTTTAAATCATTGCTTTTTACATCAAATAAACCCTATGCAGCAATTTCCAATGAATCATTTGGTGATTAGGGTTCTTAGAAGACAATTTAAACATACCCCATACCTGATCCGAAAATAAAACATCCTCGTTAAGATCCTTAGCCCAAACATTTGTAATAGATAAAGGTTTGTATGAATGCTCAAGAAGAATTTTAAAATTAATATATATATATATCATTGGGTTTTAGGGTTAACAGATAATTACTGGATAATGTCCTGGCAGAAGATTATCAGTACATTTTGTGTTTATTGTTTGTTTAATTTATTGCTTTTTACATAACAGAAAATCAAGACTTCATAGTGGTTGTTTTAATAGCATGAAAAACAAAGTGGTTATTCAGACTGGGAGTAAATTATACAGAAAGTGAGCAAAGAACGCTCTCCATCTCAAGCAGTCAGTGACTTCAGTCTATTGCGAGTTATGAGTTCTCGCAAAAACTCCCATTATAATCTTCAGCTTAAGTGTCTTCACTGCAGAATGAGTCTTTTGCATCAAATCTACAGTTGATTGTTTAAGATGAGAAAATTGCCAAAAAGTGGCAGAATTCAGTGTCAGCGGTGACTAATCTAATCACTTCTGATTGGCCATAAGCTCAACAGAAATGTGTATGATTGGTTATAATGCTCAATGCTGCAAAATTGTTTTACAAATTTAATTAAAATAAATTTGATGCAACATGAGCAGATCTAAATGTAATGCCACAATAGACACTTTTCTTTCAATTTAACGCCACCCCCATATTTAGATTTTTTTTTTATTTGGGTGGCACTTTTGCCCCAAACCTCCATTAATTTCTGTTAGCACCATGCTTTTTATGAAGGAAAGTGTGAAATGTCATTTGCACTTCTGTAATGTGATCTCGTTTGTTACTATTTTTATTTTCCCCCATTTCGCCTCGATTACATCAGCAAATTAATAAAGTTAATAATGATCATTTATTTGCATTTTTTAAATTAAACGTTTGTGAAATGCACATTAAGACCAGGACATATACATATATGTACTGTATATATATATTTTTTTATTATTATTTTTTTTTTTTATTGACTTTAAAAGAAAAAAAGTCAGGTTTTTTAGTGAACTGAATGATATTAGCACATACTGTTCTCTCTCTCTTTCATATGAAAGTAAGCAGGAGTTTTTTGGCAGAGAAAATTATTCTAGCTTGAATCATTAGCATAGTCCACGTTTCATATCGTGAGCTGATTGATTGAAGGTTTCAGGGTTTCTCGGAGAACACAGGATAGATAGTGCACACGACTTCTATACGTCCATGCCAAAAACATCATCTGATCATTGCCATGCGTCTGGACTCAGCGCATGAATCATATGGCTCTGTGAAAGCGCTTAGCTTCAGTTCAGAGCCGTCAGCGGGAGATCCTCTCACAAAGCGTGTCTTTGTTACTGCTTCTTTCGCTCTAACACAACCCCAAATGCCCCGCAGAGGCTCCCAGCTCCCCAGTGACTCGGGTACAAGCTGTGCTTTTTCAAAAACCAAATATATCCAGCTGTATGTATCCACTGTTGAAATGTGTGGAGATGTATATTCTTGTCGGTTTGGAATGGCACGTGTCCAGAGTCATCTAGAAGGTTGAAGTTCGTTAGCATGTGTTTAACTGTGAGAGTGCAATGAAAATTGGTAATATGCAGCTAGATAAATCAAATCTATGATAGGATGCTACAGGTGTGAAGACACATCATGTCCTGTAATAATTCAAATGACATTAATGGTGTTTTTTTTTTTGATCCAAAATGTTGTTTACAGCTAAAGTGTGTAATTTTTGCAGCACTAAATTGAATTTTAATGGAAAGAATTGTGCATTGTAATATTTTTTTAAAACTGGTTTTGAAGCACTTCTGACTTTGAGCTGTTCTTTCTGTGTAAGTCAGTTGTGATTAATGAGCTTGAAGTAAAGCAGCATTTTGTAACATCTCTTTTTTAACTCATTATTTGGCTGTACTCCATAAATTGAAAGCATTTATGCATAAAATTGAATCACAAAATGCTAGATTAATTTAAATTTTTTGAAATTGATGCTGGTTGAAATTCATGCTTTCATGGCAATTCATGCTTTTTTATGCATTAAACTTGTCAAAAGTGAAAGAAAACACTTCTACATTGTTACTATATATATATATATATATATATATATATATATATATATATATATATATATATATATATATATATATATATATATATATATATATATATATATATATATATATATATATATAATGCTTTTTTTAAACTTCATATTCAACAAAGAATCCTGAGGAAAACAAAGTATCACTGTTTTCACAAAAATATTAAGCAGCACAACTGTTTTCATCATTGATAATCATAATAAATGTTTCTTGAGCAGCACATCAGCATATTAGAATAATTTCTGAAGATCATGTGACACTGAAGACTGGAGGAATGATGCTGAAAATTCAGCTTTGCATCACAGGAATAAATTACATTTGAATATATATTCAAATAGAAAACAGTTTATTTAAATTCTAATAACATTTGACTATTTTTACAGTATTTTTTATCAAATAAATGCAGAAAAGCAAGAGACTAATTTCAAAAACATGCCCCCGACCCCAAACATTTGCTCTTACTACTACCTGAATACTGTGTAGTTTCTACTGTATACTACAAAGATAACATCAAACAGGAGTATGCTACATTATCACATGACCTCATTACCTTGCATATTTATTTGACTGAATAGCATACAGTTATGAACTATGTTTTTTTGGCAGGCTGATTAAGAAACAGATGTGAAATTGTGACTTCACCTGGTATTGGAAGGTCAAGATACACTCATACAGTGTGCTGTGTTGCATACTGCACATTTTTTTAAATGATTCGTATTTCATGCGTACTGAAAATTTCTGGCTGATTGTGCAGTATTTCATATTTCACTTCATCATTTAAAAGTACTCGTATGAGCCTCTTAAATCATTTGGAAGCTCTTCTAACTGTTTTTACTGTGTATGTCAGTTGGGTGTCGACAGTGTGGTCCAGATGTTCCAGTTCCTGTGGGCGGGGCTTCAGAGATAGGCGGGTCTCCTGTCAGCAGGTGGAGGCATCGGGGGGCGTGAGGGTTTTGTCCGGGACAGCGTGTGAAGGATCTCCTCGACCTGAAGACAGGGAGGAGTGCAGCTCACACACGTGCGTGGAGTGGCTCACCGGCCCCTGGGGGAAGGTACGTTTACTGCCACTTTTATATTCATTCTAACCTCTTTAATGCAGAAAAATGATCTAGAGTAGTGTATATAACTAATAATAGAACAATATATTAGTCAGGCCGATTAGTCGTTTGATATCTGGCAATCTATTTTTGAGATCATTGGATTAGGCTGGTAGCCAATATAGCAGATATTCTAGATATTGATGGGAACCAAAGAAAACCTGTATTGGTCAGCAATTATCCATAATTATTTTATATTCTGTGTATTTTCTGCTAATCCTTTACACGACCATGCAAAACTATGGGGCTTGTAAGATGCTTTTAAAGTTTAAAGTCTCTTCTGCTCACCATGGCTGCATTTAACTTATCAAAAATATTGTAAAAACAGTAATATTGTGAAATATAAATTACTGTTCTATTTGATAGATAACCTATTTTATAGGTTGCTGAATTTTCTTCAGTGTCACATGATCCTTCAGAAATCACTCTAAAATGATTATTTGCTTCTCAAAAAAAAATAACCACACAAAACATTTTTTTTAATTATTATCAGTGTTTAAAAATGGTGGTGCTGCTTAATATTTTGTGGAAAACATAACTTTTTCAGTATTGTATGAATGTAAAGTTCAAAAGAACAGCATTTATTTGAATTAGAAATATTTTATAACACTTCAAATATTTGTCACTTATAACTTAATTGATCCTTTCTTCATAAAAGTATTGCTCTTTTTTCATTCCAATTTGTCATTATTTGTTATTTGTAAATTATTTGTGCTTTTTAAAATTGTATTTGTCATTGAATTTTACTTCAGTCAAATTCAGAACTTCAGAATTCGATCCCCCTCCCCGTTGGGAATTGATTGGATTGTGACGTATTAGGAAAGTAAATTAGGTTACTTGAATATTTAATAACTTAATGATTCATGCAAAAACATCTAAAAAGTGAAGTTATGAAATTACTAATAAAAAATACTGACCAGTTACAGATTCTAAAAATATGCACTTCTTACACAATCATGTAACGTTTCGTGTTATTTGCCAGATACCCATAATCAGTTTTATATAGCTTATGCCTGTTTAGTATCAAAGCAGCTGCATTTGTTGATTTCCATCTTCATCATATTTCCTGTCATGCTGTGGTGGTGATGTAAGTCACGTGATGTGTTCAACAGTGCACAGGTCGATGTCTGGGGCCTGCGGTGGCCACGCAGAGCAGAACCGTCTCATGCAGACACTTCAGCAACTCCACGTCCAAAACATGCAACCCAAAAGAAAGGTGCCAGACTTTCAGCATCACTTATTCTCCCGTGCTGTTAATGTGTTATTTCTCATGATCTGATTCTCAAACACCTTTCAGGCCATCATCCGTGAGGAACTGCTCGTCCGAGATGTGTGACGTACACTGGACGGTGTTCCCGTGGAGGACGTGCACCGCGGCGTGCGGCAGCGGCTTCCAGTCCCGCCGGGTGGAATGCGTCCATCGGCAGAACAAGAAAACCCTCCCTGACCAGCACTGCACCTGGCAACGGCGGCCTTCTACCTGGCAACACTGCAACATCACTTCCTGTGGCAGTGGGTCTATTCATTTTAGCTCTCAAAACACCTTGTTATAAACCAGAGCGTCAGTACGAGGAATGTTTGCCCTCGTTCGCCACCTTTAGAGCGTTCATGTTTTATTAGGGAAAATATTAGCGACCTGAGGTCCAAATATATTGGCTTGTTCCGTCTCTCTCGAAGTCCAAGTTATCACAACGTCCCAAGAGAACTCGCTCTCGTTCGTGGGTTTTTCTAAGCTCGGTCATTTCAGGAATCCCGTCTGTCCAAACGTCTGCTTTTTGTTCTTCGCTCTTCTGCGGTGAAACTTAATGAAACTTCATTTTTGCGTCACCTAACTTGTTTCTGGGTGCAGAAATATTTAATAAGACAACACTAATAAATGAACTTATATTGTTTGTATTGTATAGAGTGTGAAGCCTCGGTCACGCTAGACTTTGAGCTCGAAATGTTGCTTCACACCACAGCGAACAGGATGTGATATCACGCTCTAAGGATTCTCTTTTTGAGAAAAAAAACAATCACCATGCAAATGATAATACATTTAAAACGTGGAAATATACTGTGGACATCTACTCTGCTTTCCTGCTTTGTTTTCTTTGACTTGAGGTCAATCTGTGACGTTTAGATGGTCTGTTGGTCAGATTTCTTTATATTTAACCTATATGAAAATATATTAATAACAATGAATAATAATAAAAAATAGTTAATAATAATAATAATAATGTTATTAATGCTATTGTTATATTGTAGTTTTGTTGTTAGCCACTTATTATTGTTATTATTTTATAACAAAATATTATTATTATTATTATTATTAAACACCAACAAAAGATGTTTATTATTTATCTTTTCATTTTTTTATTCGTTTTTTGTTTAACTAGTTAATTAATTCATTGTTAATTCAGTTCATTGTTTAAAAAAATAATAATAAATGCTATTATTTGCAAACTCATCCACTATTTTCTGTTTATTTGTCTTTATTTTAATATGTTTAAATTTGCATTTTTTTTTGCCAATTAACGTGTGGATTGTGCTTTTTGAAAAGTACGATTTCTAAAGGTGTAATTTGAATAAGCTTTTGTTTGGTATCTCTGCAGGTGAGTGTAAGGACCGAACCCACTACTGTCCTGTGGTGAAACGTCTCAAGCTGTGCTCCGTGGACCTGTACCGGCAACGCTGCTGCCAGACCTGCTCACAGGACACCAGCGCTACCTAGTGACCAGCAGAGGCACAAGAGCCCAAAACAACAGATGCCCTTTTCAGTCACCGCACTGATCTCTCTCCTAAAGCAGAATATTGTTCAATCGTACAAACCCTTGGACACCTAGAGTGTATGGACTAAAAGGTATTTGGACTACACTTCACTGGATGCTTTCCCACAATCATCAGAAGTCCAAAGAGAAAATCACTTGATGAGATTTGAAACTTCTCTCTTCACCAGCTTTCTCTGCAGATCTCATTTGATCTTGCCCTGAAAGTGATATTATATGTGTATTAATTTAAGATTTTTACTTGTGAATATGAGAGGACAAATCTTATCGGACCATTCACCAACGTGAAGGAAATATAAAGGCCTCTTGGGTGTACATGATGCACTGATACTAATAATATCAGTAGTACACAGCTTGGAGTATTAAGAGTATTTTTTTTTTTAAGTCAGAGTCCAACCTTAAAGTCAACATGAAATGCTGTCACAACCCATTCTACTTCTCTAATTTGCTTACTTCAGAGTCAAACAGGATATTCAATGAGAAAAATGTAGAGCGGAGCTTTATTCTATGTATTAGGACTTGATTGGCTCATGAATGGAGTCATGTGGTCAGAGGGGAGGAGTTAGAGAAGTAAGAAAGGTTTGTGATTTCAGCCGGAAAGGGAAATCGTTGCAGAGGGGAAGCATGTTTTACAGCATCTTATTTCCACCACGGAATGAGAAAATACAAATGGTAATTGTGACTTATCTCCGACATTTTTTTGATCTCATTTCTGGGTTTATATCTTACAATATCAACTTTTTATCTAAATTTTGAGTTTATATCTCACAATTCAGACTTTTTTCTTGCAATTCTGATAAGAAAAGTCTAAAATGTGAAATATAAACTCACAAGAAATAAGTCAGAATTGTAAGAAAATAATATTACAATAATATAAGAAAAAAGGCAACTTTTTATCCCACAATTTAGACTTTTTCACAATTGCAAATTTATATCTCAAATTTCAGACTTTTCTTCTTAGAATTGCAAGTTTAGATCTTGCAATTGCGAGTTAGCATCTCGTAATTGTGACTTTTTACTCAGAACTGGAAATGTATATCTCTCAATTATGAGTTTATATCTTGCAGAATTGTGAAAAAGTCCGAATTGTGAGCTATAAACTCAATTAAAAGGTCATAATTGTCAAATAATTTTTTTTTTTTTCTTTGGTGGAAATAAGCTTCCATTAAGTTATTTTGATAAACATTATGAAGACAAACATTTTTTTTTTATTTGGAATAACACGCACTGATAAATCATGCACAATAAGAGCAGTAGCATGTTTTAAGGAAGTAGAAAGGGTCCGTTTTGTTCTCATGTTGACTTTAATATTAAATAATGATGTTTTAATATGGACGTAGAATGTATGACAGAAAACCCATTGACTGATTGAAATGGCATGTGCCATAAAAGTCACATTTCTCCAGCCGTCTTTTAGATGTATGTTTTGTGTTCAACCAATGTGCTGCATTGTAAAATATGTCTTGTATATAATGTGTTTCTAAGTGCAATATTGTACATTGAGTGTAGAAAGTCTGGATTTTATTTTCTTACGTGGTTTAGTTTGTCTTTATAATCCATATTTAAGATTAAACACAACACAGACCTATGTACTTATAGCACTTGAAGTGAATTATTCATATCTCTAATATAATGGTTTCCTACTGGCTTTTATGCATGCTTTTTTTTTAGTACATCAACAAATGTTGTACATAAGCCACTCACTGAATTTATCCATGAATTTAATCCATTGCATTTTATTGGTTCAGTATGTGGAGGAAGCGCCGGTTTTGGTACTATTCACGTCAATATTGCAAACAGTCTATGTGATACAAATACAATAAATACAGTTTTACCAATCAGTTTATATCTCTTCATTTTTATTGATCTTTTTTATTCTATATTGCGGTTAAAACAATCAATTATTGTGCAATGTTTAGAGTGTGTTTTATGTGTTAACTACACTGTCATTAAAATGGCTGCATTTATTTGATCAAAAATACAGTAAAACTGTAATATT